ACAATTCGATAGAAAAATGTTTTGTCTATTCCAGAATCTAAAAATCGGCTTAAACGGACTTCATGAAGCGGAAATATAGAGGTTTTACTGGAACTTTTCAAAATCAGTGATGGAATTTGGATCTACCACTCTAAATATAAAATTTCGTCTTGATCGGTTAAATCAATTTAAAATAGAATTTTTACAATTGAATATTATTTTCTATTGATAATCTACATCATCATCGATGATTACTCAGAATTTAATCTTATTTTGAGAGTAAACAATAAAATCTATCAGTGTATACATTGAATCATAAATTGTTGGTAAAAAGATTACAAAGAAGAAGAAATATTTTCCACACAGATCAACTAATCATGCTGATCGTATGATAATAACTATCTTAATACTTTGACTCTTCTCTGGAGTTTATTGAATCTCAGATGAAATCTTTAAATAATTCAGACATGAAAAAAAACTCGCTTCTTATGTGTTCTACATCATTTTTGTATGCCATTATTCTAACATAACGAGTTATTGTAAAGTAGGAAATGATGAAAATTATTTTAAATTAAAGCTTTTCCTTTTCGTCGAATATTTCCTTTTAAGAGTTAATTTTCAAAAATTCGACTATCAATATGTGTTAAATGATCATTACAATTGTTTTCTGCTTTCATCTGCTGATTTGCGTTTTGAGATGACATCGCTGTTTCGATTCTATTTTTGATAAAACACCTTTTCGTTAAATTTATCTATAAACACAAATTACACAATATGTTCTGACAGAATTTTTAAATTAATTTTTAGACCATTGCACTATCGAACTCATGCAATTACTATCACCAGCGTTTCTTATACTAAAATTTTTATTAATAGATAAGAAAATAAGTTTGATTTTTATGAATTCATTCAATAACTGATTGCTTAACTCGGTTTTTTAAACTAGATTATAGAAAATAAAATATTTTTTTTATGATAAAATTAGATTAATCAGGCTGATTAGCTCGTAAAAAATCGTATTTTTTTCTTAGTCTTGTCCAATATAAATTATAATCATTCATGAAAGTTCGAATACCATCTGATTCTTTTCCATTAAAATGATCATTTGAAGCAGCACTATACGAATTTATATATCTATTGATGGTTCAGTACATTTTTTCAATGTTAAATTGTTAAATTCAAAAGAAGATCGAACTTTTGGAAGTGATGAAAATATTTCTTCATATGATTCCGGAGAACTAAATAAATTATGTGTTTACATTATATTTAGTTGTGCATATAAAATCATGTTAGTTTATTGAATACACATAAGAGAACAAAAAACCGATTTCAAATGATTTCATTTTGTCAGAGTTTCAATGCATTGAAATCTGTAGAACATATGCTATTGTCCTCTTGTATTTTTATCACTAAACGAAAGAAGATGAGGCAAAAAAGCAGGCAACTTTCAATATCTAGTCGTCTATTTTACTTAAGAGTTTGTCATCTAATAAACCTACTATAATTTCTGGTTATGATGCATATTCTGAGAACTTTGGCGCTATGCTGAGAAACCTTTTTCCTTTTCTTTCACAGATAAAAAGCAAATCTGTAAATTAGAATAAGATGCGTATTAGAAAAGAAAAAGTTCTAGAAAGAAATTTTTTTCACTAGAGATTCGAAAATATCTATTTTTCACTGAGACAGATAAAGAGTATAATGGCCGGACATTTAGTGTCGTATATAAAAAGCGAAGATAGGAAAAATCAATTAAAATTGTCTTTCAGAAAACATAAATTATCGTAGCGAGAAAAAAGTTTTTGATCAACATTAAAAGTAATCAAACTATATGTACATAAAATGTTTTCATTTTATTTTAAAATAAATATTAAAATAATCTATGAATTCGAAGTTTTTTCTTTTATAAAGAAAAAAGTCTGCTTTGCTTTTCATTTGAATTCAGATATAAGAAAATATTTGTATTGTCTATATAAAACAGGTATCACTTTCATACTGATAGATTTAGATCTAGATTGACAAAAAGAGAAAGAATAAAAATGTAAAATAAAAGGATAGCAAAATGAAATATAAAAAAACTGATTTACAATCAATAATATTGCTTTTAAAATTGATGGGTTAATCTTTTCAAAACAATTATTGATGGCAATATCGGAGTCTCTTGTCTTTTGTATATAAGAAAAGATCAGAAAAAAAAGATAATTTTTCCTTTTCAAGAGAGAAATATAAAAATTTTTTAAATAATTACCGAATTCGTTCAGTCATTATTGAAAAATGATCATTCCAACTGCAAACTGTTGTTTGAGTATTTGGCCAAGGACAAAACCACCATAAATGTTTTGCTGGATTACATAATTGATATATTTTATTAAAATATATCATATATATTGAGAATAGAACACAAAACAGTATGAAAAAGACAAATTTCAATGATGTTAAAATTCGAAAACGCTGTTGAATGTAAGAAATGCATGTTTTAGAGAAGTTCATCATAGAATTTTTTCGCATATAATTATAATTGTGAAACATTGAAACAAAATTTAATTTGAATTATATCTATTGATAGGCATTACTTTAAATTTACTTTTTATTATCAATTGATTGACCACTTCTAGTGAATGAAGCAAACAATTACATTCATGTTAATAATAGTGAAAGAGATATTTGAGCGAAGGTTTGATATGTATATTTATTCAGTGTTGCACAGTATGAAAAATAAATATGTAACTGGAAAAAAAAGAAAGAATCGTGTCTATGCAAATAGCGTTAGCGATAGAAAAGTAAAAAGATGCAAGCATGCCAAGCAAAATCGAAGACGAAAAAAATACTCACTGTAGTATTACTTCTAGGATTAAATTTCTTTTCTTTTTCGTTCTATTACGTAAATGTAAAACAGACTGTTCTTTTACGCGACATGAAACAAAGTCGAACGAGTAATCTATCAAAAAAGAATTAAACTAATGATAACAATATGGCATAAAAAGAGAAAGCTATTCATACAAATATTTGTCAAAAATCATGTTGCTGCTAATAATCTATTGTCACTTATTTTTAAAGTTACTGGAAAATTCATACAGTTACCAAAAAATGTCCAGAGGTTTTGAATAGTAACATGCCAGTAACGAATACAGGTTAAATTGTTCTCTGTAAGAATTGCCCTAACTCAAGTGGAAAATTATGATGATCAGAAACGATCGTATACAACAGAAAAGGTTTACGTGTATACACTACCGTTTCATTCAGTAGACCGCCGTATTTTGTCATGTGATACACGGCTAATTATGGTGTATCAAACAGTCGACAGTTTGAGTATCTAATCGTTTACGACACGCTGGAAAACGGTGTAATATGACGTATACCGAAGGGTAATAAAAAGAGCTGTGGGATTGTTTACAACCGGGCTTCTTTTGCTTGGAGAATCATATTGTTCTTCGAGAAAGTATCTTTCATTCGCAACATTGCGTTTCTATAAAACGTAAGCTATGATTGACGATAAGATTATTATGTGATATAATTTATAATAACAAATAGAATTTTATTTTATTTTTCGCTTCTCATAAAAAAAGAAAGTCTATTTACAGAATAATTTCTGCGACGATATTTACTTATTGTTGAACGGATCATATAATTCTTAAATATACTACGTTAATAATGTTTTAATGTATGAAATCCAGTAAAAATAAAATAAAATAATTAAAATCATCTTAAGTTTAAATCAAAGTATTAGTATCGAACCTATAATTCCCAGCACCGTGTAACGCATCAAGAGCATCACTTGTTAAAAAAACCTTTTTGTATTTGTTGCTTAGCAATTTCTTTTATCGGTTACTAAGTCAATTTTATTCTTTTTCGTATAGATTCTTTCAAAATCTGTAATTATCATTCAATTGCATTCGTTACCCAGAAAAATCATTCTGACAATCGAATCCGATCAAATATGACAGGGATACAATTGAATCTGTACAGCAGAACTCTGACCGATCTCGAATTTTGGCATTATAGATACTGAGCGGTGCTCAACAAGTCACATAGGAATTGACTGTCGGATGCGTTAGCTTTTCCTCAACCCGGGAACCCGTGAGATTTTGTCGGCTAGTAAAATCTTATTGGATCTAATAGAATTTTGTGTTAGATTCATTCACATGAGGGAATAGCAGTGATCCGTTGACTTCCCCAGAATATTCTATAATTTATTATCAATTTTTGTATGAAACAGTACACTAGAACTTCTGTTTGCGCATCGCCATAACTCAACAGATTTTTTTATTTATATTTTTCAATTGGAAATTATATAACCATTAACAGCAAACATAATTTTTCCCTTCGTTTAGTCTTTTTTTAATAATAGTAGACTTAGCTGGATCTGATAGTAAAAATGAATGTTCAAGTGACTGAGATAAGCATGAAGATGCGTCCTTATTCATCATTATTAAAACTTCCTATGCTGTTTAAAAAGGTTTTTTCTTTTTGGCGCAGCTACATATAAAATCTGATGTTAAAATAAATAATTGTATTTATGAAAAATTTTATTTTGTTCTTATTGGGTTTATGTATATACGAAACGAATTCTCTGGATGAGTGATGAAACAATACGTGTCGATCCATTCTCGATTACGGTATCATACACGTTCCACTAGTGTACTATTTTAAAATAAAAAACCCTTAGAATTAGGGACATTTTGACCGATAACATTCATTGTAAACGACATTTTTTCAAGAACAGTTCGACCAGTGACATTCATGCTGAAAGACAAAATTACTATGATATTTTTGAAACGTCATTTTTTTCAGGGACGCCTTAAACGGTTACCCTAGTAATTCTGCATTTCTGTTTTTTTACAACCTCAAGACTCCGTTGAAGTAACTACGTGGTATGTTTTATTCTTCCATATGACTTTGAAAATGTGTTTGACAAACAAACATTAAGAGAAAAAATTGAAGGATGAATTATACAGAGAAACTACTGTTTCTTGCCTTTTTTTTCTAGGTTACATACATTGAAAGTTATTATTGTTCATAATTATAATTTCAAGTTCTAAAATTATACGTAAAAACGCAAATTGATCTATCTATATTTGTTGAAATATCTGCTGCTTTTATTTCACAATTAGTAGTATAATTATTTGAAAAGACAACAAGTTTTCTCTCATGGCACAAATACTTTTAAGCCATGCATGTAGTTATCTAAAGACCATATTTCAAATTCAGTTATCCACATGTCGTTTTATTTTTATTTTCATTGATACCATTTGTTCTATAGTATGATGATCGGCCTTGTCTGCTGAAATTAAGTAATAAAAGTTTCTCTTGCTCATATCATTAATCTATCATTCTCATCTATTCTCAAACATAAACAAGTCATATCAAGAAGAGCATAGACTTTTCATTTAGAAAAGGATGCCTATTACACAGTGCAAGAGTTTGATAAAACTCAGGTTTTTTTGACAAAAATTCAAATAGATTTGCAAATATATCATGAAAAGAATCAAAATAAAAACAATAGATTCTACATTCATAATCTGAAATAATGGAAGCAATGTATTCTCTGAGTTAAAAAGGAAAATATTTTATTCATGTGTTTTAAATTTAATCGTGAAAAAATGAGAAATATCTTTTGAAATAAATGATAACCCATCCTTTTTTCAAGTAATAGCACGTCTACAATTTAAAATAAAACAAATAGCATTAAAATAGAGAGATTTTTATGAGCTCTTCAGAATATAGGATAATAAAACTATTCAGTTCACTTTAGTTAAAATGGAAATTGTAATAACATCGTTTACGACATTAAGCGATGTATTTATGGTTTAACTAAGGTCGTTTCCCATAAAAATAAAGCAGTTTTAACCCATATAGTGTACAGCACAGTAAACTTAAGCTTGACATTTTTACAATACCCATATATATGAGCATTTTGGTAGTATTGGGTATGAAATTAGATAATGATATATCTACAATTTATAACCATTATCGATAAAAATTTATTTAAAATTATAACATTATTATTATAATTTATGATCACCTCATGTGATGAGTAGCTGTCTAATTCGAGTTCGAATATAAATGGAGAAAAGAAAAAGTTAAACTAAAACTAAATCTATTCCTAGATTTAGTTTTAGTTTAACTTTCTGATACATGCGACATATGAATACATATATACCATTCACTCGCACCCACATTTGAGCACTCCTCCATGGTATCATTCACCCGCACTCACATTTGAAGTATTCCGGATACTCCATGCACCCCTTCCGGGTACTCTTCACCCACACCCACAGTTACTCCCTAGTCCCCTTCAACCCACACCTACTCCATCTTAAACTAAATCTAAAACTAAATCTATATTTCTATTACTTATTTTCGAATTGATACCATGCAGTTGGGTACCCATTTATATTTGAATTCGAACTAGGTATCTCATGCACATATATTGCTACCAGTCGAAAGTTGAAAGTTGAAAATTTCAATTTTCAATTGAGTTCAATTTTCAAGTTTGACACTGCTGAACACTTGATAATAGTTTGAGGTAGATCACTATCTTATTAATATATCACCAAGTAGAAGTACAAAAAGTACATAAGAAATAGATTAGAAAAATACTTGTGATTAATTATTGGTTCAAAAGAAATCTATTATAAGAAATATAAACTCTAAAAAAGAAATGATTTCCTGCAATCGCGCCCGCAAATTGAATTATAACCTATGGTGAAACTTTACAATAAGCATCAAGTAACGGGTGGGCCATAAAGAATGAGGGTACCGATATTTCTTGGATATCTCGGTTAGTTTTCATTCGTTCTTTCTAATTTTTTTTTCGAACGAATCACCATTCAATTCTCTACAAAACTGGGTACTTTCTCTTGAATTGGATTAGATTAGTTTTATTTAATATTATGAAAAGTAAAGACCTTCAAAAACTCGTACTTTCAAAGTACGAAAATGGTGATGGACCGACAAAGATTTTTCGAGATCTCAACGGTGCCATTAGTCTTCAGACAATAGAACGGTGGTGCAAAAGCATTCGTGATACGGGCTGTATCAATTTATCAACGTCACCCGGTCGTCCGAGAACAATCCGAACCAAAGCAGCCATCCGAAAGATCAAAAACCGAGTGGAACGTCGAAGATCTGTATCCTCTCGAAAAATAGCCCGTGAATTGGGTATTTCTCGAACAAGTATTCGGAGAATACTCAAAAATGATCTAGAACTTCAGGCATATAAGATACAAAAAGAACCATTGCTCACTGATGAGCATAAAGAAAAAAGAATAAAGTTTGCAAATTGGATACGAACAAATTTCCGAAAAGAAGACACTATGAATATTCTGTTTTCAGACGAGAAAATGTTCGACATTGATGGAGTCTATAACTCTCAAAACGAC